TTAGGGTTTAGGGTTTCGAGGAGGAATTCGAGGGGTTTTCGGATGAAAGGGTCGCGGCTTAAGGGCTTTGAGCTAGGGCAGCTAGGGCTCCAGGGTTTCTTTTGAGTTCTATAGGGCTTAAGGGCTTCAGGGTCTCAAAGTCTTGGGGTCTGAGACTTCGGTCTTAGGTTCAATCAAACTGCCATGGCCAGGAGCTTCTGACCCTCCCGCCTCCTGTGAGTATTCGGGCGATGGATCAACGAAAATGCCTTGGCCCACGTGGGGACTCTCTCTGCTGTCTCTGCTGTTAGTATCGACTTGCATGTGGGTGGTTGTCAAAATTAGAGTCCCTTTTTGGGTCCTTATCATAATACGGCACCCATTATTTAGGGTACCCCAAAAGGGACCATAATTTTGACAACTACCCATGTGAGGGTCGAGGTCTTAAGGTTACCATCATCGGTTGATTCTCGGCTCAGCGCAGTGCTCTATAAGGTTCTGTAGCGTATGCTGGGCCAATCGCAACTGCCGTGCGAGCATGCAAGTCACCCAGAAAGCCGCCTGCTTGACTCATGCCAAGTAACGACCCTTGTAAAGCTTCATAGCATCTCTGTGGCATTAAGGGCTTTTCTGCATCTGAGCGAGGTTTGCAAAATATAACATACATTATACCTGCGCAGTTACATATACCGTAGGTGGGGCGAGAAAAGGTGTAGGACTGGCCTACAGCACTTCATGCGCATTCCGGTGGTTAATAAGCCCCTTTCCAGCCACCGAGGCATTGAAAGACTGCGCCCGTGGGAAGCAATCTCACCGAGGCCACAGAATCCTTGAAGTTTCCCCTCTTAGGGGGTTAGGGTTTAGGGGTTTAGGGTTCAGGCTTTCGGGTTTAGGGACACCCCAAACTCTGAAACCCCCCTCCAGCTCCTTAAGAAGAACCCCATAGAACCCAAACTCAACACCCGAACATGACCAGAAATCCTAAACCCTAAGCCGAAATCCTAAACCCTAAACCCAAATCCTAAACCCTTCATGCACAGGGTCGCCGGGCCAGCCATTGAGTGGCCCAGGCACGGGACTTCCGGGCCTCAATGCTTGGGTTCTTGGGTTTATTTAGGGCTTAGGGTTTCAGAACATCGCGTTCCCAAAGGTTTAGGATTTAGGACTTATAAATGTTCAGTTCTTGTTAGGGCACATTTTTGCGGGCGCGCACTGCTCAAGGTTTTGGGGAGGGGTGTGGTCGGGCAGCCTCCGCCTTTGGCTTCAGTCGCCAGGGCTGAGATCAAACGAAAAGTGCTTCGAGTGTCAGTTAAACAGCTCCCAGTGCGGTTGAGGGTTCAGAGTTGATCTGTGGCGTAGGGTTTGTGGTTCAGGGCATCGTAGTCATGAGGTACAGCTTAGCGGGTTTGCCATACAAAAAGTTCACCTCTTGCCAGCTGCAGCGAAACATGGATGCCAAGATGACGCATTCCCAGCGGCTCCTACTACTACTACTACTACCACCACCACCACCACTGCTTACTGCTTACTGCTTACTGCTTACTGCTTACTGCTTACTGCTTACTGCTTACTGCTTACTGCTTACTGCTTACTGCTACTGCTACTGCGACTGCGACTGCCACTGCCACTGCCACTGCCACTGCTACTGCCACTGCCACTGCTACTGCTACTGCTACTGCTACTGCTACTGCTACTGCTGCTGCTACTGCCACTGCTACTGCTACTGCTGCTGCTGCT